GCCTGGGGCCCTGCCCAGGGTCCCAGGTCTCCCCCAACCCAGCCCTCCACTCCCAGCCGCCTCTCATGCCTGGTGCTTACCCTGCCCTGGGCTGGGGAACCTCAGAGACCTTGGACCTGCCTATTGGCGGGGGAGGGGGCGAGGGGAGGGGTGTATGGCCGCATCTTCCCGGAGGTTCCTGCAGCCTCCTGCCTGCTTTCCTGGCCTGCCTTGTGCACCTCAGGAGGGCCTGGCGGCAGAGAAGGAGCCTGTGTTCTCAGGGGACCCCCAGCGAGTGGGCTGGAGAACGTGGGGTGAAGCTGTGCAGGAGGCCCTGCAGCACTCGGAGAGCAGCAGCCCCCGCAGGGCCTGTGGGGCACCGGGCTTCCGGGACGTGGGACTTGGGGGCACAGGCGCAGGCAGCCAGGCCGAGGCCCACTGGCCCCTCAGAGCCCCAGGCTGGACACAGGACTCGCCTTCCACATCCCGCCAGTCAGTCAGAAGGGCCAGCGGCGAACCTCGGGTCCGCGGCCGCTCCACCCCGGCCCTGTCCGCTGTGTGGGTGCCGGCGCCTCGGGGCTCTCTCTGAAAGGGCAGGGATCCCTCGCCCCACTTCTCACTGGGCTGCTGCTCTGCGGGGTGCTTGGGTGGTCCAGCCTGAAGCCAGGGAGCCGGGCACAGCCTGGCCGGAGGGCGTCAGCCGGTTCAGATGACCGGCCAGCCGGGCCTCCCTCTGGAAGGCACGGGTTGTTTTGCTGCCTCAGGCTGCAGGGCTCAGGAGGGAACCCTGCTTCTTTCCTGGGGCCCAGAGGAGGGTCCCCCCCGATGAAGGTCGGTGTCCAGGGCAAAGGGACACAGGATTCCACCAGGAGCCACGTTCTGTGGTTTGAGGGATTTCTCCTCGGATTTTTTGACATAATGTTGCTTCTAACTGATCTTCACTTTTCAGGTTTCTGAACCCTACTGAGACCAGTCTCCCCCTTCCGGGGGCCTGGCTGCCCGCCCCCGAGAGCCAGGGTCGCCGCCAAGACCGCACATGTCCCGCGGGCTTCCCCCAGCTCTGTGTCGCGGGGCCCAGCGCCCCTTTCCGTAGTGAGATGTGACTTGCAAGGGGTCCTTCTAATTTGGGAACATCCAGCCTGAACAGAAAAGGAGGGTTCTCTCCAAACGCAGGCAGTTTTCACAGGGTCGGGGTGACAGGTGGAGAGGCACCTTCTAACTGCAGGCCGCCCGGCGGGAGCCCTGCCTACAGGTGGTTCTTCCCGGCCCGGCTCCCTCTGGTTCACCTGCTCCACGCCCAGGTCCAAGGGGCTGCCCCCGCGGCTTCCCGGCTGTTACCCCCACCGCCTGGCCTCTACCCCACCGCCCCCCTGGTTTGGGTGCGAGATCCACACTGGGGGGGGGGCTTTTTCTGCAAAGACCCAGGTAGTGCATATTTCAGGCGTGCAGGCTGTGGTTTTGGGGTGAGGTCTCTGGCACACCTGCTCGGCCCGGCCGGGGGGGCTCGGAGGTGCTCCTGGAGCCCGTGCTCTGAGGGCGGTGTTGATGGACACGCAATGTCCGAGGCACCTACTCGCGTGGAGTGAAATGTTACTTTTTTTTTTTTTTTTGTTAGCACTGTTTAGCAAAATATTTTTTCTTTATTGACTTTAGAGAGAGAGAGATGGAAACATCGATGAGAGAGAACATCGACTGGCCGCCTCCTGCATGCCCCCCACTGGGGATCGGGCCCACAACCTGGGCATGTGCCCTGACCGGGAATCGAACCGGCGACCTCTTGGTGCAGGGTCGATGCTCAGCCACTGAGCCACACCAGCCGGGCAAAATATTATTTTTATTCTGTAGACGCCCTCCCCCATTTAAGAAGGTAGAAAGTAGTCCGAGCTGGGGGCCGCATCTGTCCTCGGACACACCCCCATCAGGGGACCTGGGAGAAGTCGAGGCTCACAAGAGGTTTGTGACTTGCTGGTGTGAAGTCACTTAACAGCCACCTTCCTGGGCCTCCCTCCCCAGCGGGCTGGGTTGTCCCCACCCCCCCCCTCCAACGCAAACAGCGGACGGGCTGCTGCTTTGAGTCACGGGAAACCCACAGCCCACTTTGGTGTTTTCTTGCCGAATCTGGTGCCCAACTGGCCTTCTTTGCACGCTAGCCCAACATTTCCCACCGCGCTGTGAGCCCGCAGCCCCGGGGCCCTGCTCCCGCCTGACCGACCCTCGACCCTCCACTGAGGCAGGGTCGGCTGCCGTCTCAATGAGGCTGCCCGTTCACACCTCCAGGAAGGCCCGTGAGGTGTGGGGTAGGGATCCTGCCACGGAACAGACACCGCAGAAAGTTTCCGTAACGTCTTTAATTATTCAGACAACAGAGCACGAGAGTAACAGTGTCGAGGACATTCTGGTAGCGAGTTTGACGGGCGGAGACGGGCGGGCGCACACTGCGGACTCGCGGCCGTCCACCCCGACGGTGGCCCAGTGGCCCCCTCGTGCCCTGGGTTCGGCTTCTCTCCGTGGTGGCTCCCTTTGTTGCCCGTGGAAAGAGAATTCTTAGTGTAAATCTTGGGAAGTGGGACAGAGGGCACTGGGTAAGGAAACAGTGTGATTCGGAGACCGCGCCCGGCCCGGAGCGGGGCCGCCCAGAGCGGGCAGCCCGGACTGCTGCTGGCACAGTCAGCTTTGGGCCTCGCCAGGTCCCGAGCGATGGGGCTGCGGCAGAGGGACTCAGGCCGCTCCCCACAGCCCGAGATGCCGGTGTGGCCACGGTGCCCGGCCACTGTCCACCAGCTTACACACAGACTGACGGCCTACAGGGCAGAAGGCACCTAATGCCACTGGGTTGTGCACCTTGAACCTGCTGACCACCTACAGGCCAGAAAAATACCTTTTCCAGAGAAACCAAGGCCCACTCCTTCCCAGAGGCCTGGCCATGGGGGCCTGCAGAGGGCTGGCTCCGGCGTGCCCGCTGGGCCTCCTGCCCCAGCGCCATGCACACGGGCCCCTGCCCCAGGGAGGAGCCACACCATGCCAGGCTCTCAGAGCAGAAGCCAGGGAATACAGGCCTAGCGGCTGCTCCAGGCCTGCCCCTGTGGGACGGAGGCCTGCCCACAGCCGTCAAGTCAGTTCTGCCCCTGTCCAGACCAGCCTGCAGACCAGCCCCCCCCCCTGCCCCCCCCAAGTCCAGCCTGCTTAGACACTGGGGCCCGAGTCACACCAATGGCAGAGCCCCTCTGGGCTGAACGTCAGGCATGGAGGGCCTCCTGCCCCAGACCCACTGGCACAGGGCACCCTCCACAGGGTGCCCACTAAGGGAGAGCTGTGCCCCAGGGACAAAGTCCACGCCCAACACCCACTCCAGACAGACACGTTGGACTTGGAGACACCAGTGTGGCCCAAGGATCCAGGCACCCTGAGCCCCCAGAGGCTGTGGATTCGGGGGGGCAGCCTGAAGAAAAGATTCCAACAGGATCGACATCATGTGCTTTCCTCGGGGACCCTCCGTAAAGGGCCCCCAGGACTTCAGAAAGCAGCTGAGACCTCCCTACAGGGCCAGGAACACAGCATTGCAGCCCCGGGCAGCCAAGCCCAGGGGCCGAGGTCTTCCCGCAGTCACGGGAGCCGAGTCCGTTCTGGCTGACTGCCTCAGGACCACCTCCGCCAGGCCTCCACGTTAGGCTGTGCTAGGTGGGGGGGGGGGGGGACCCAGCCGTGCACCCCCAACCTTTGGAGCGTTGGAAGACAGTCACACAATAAATACAAACAGAGCTGAGGTTAGCCCAGTGATGAAGGTCAACGCACGAGTTGATCTGAGGTCACAGGATAAGCGACGCATCTGGACACGATGCTGGGGACCGAGGAAGCCAAACCCGGAGGCCAGAAAGGAAGAGAGAGAGAGGGCCATGACAGGAACTCTCAGTTATTACATACTGTCCAGGCTGCACGTGGCACGTTTTATTTCTATAAAACTATTACAAAATATTCAAAAATACAGTTTAGTAAATTTACAGCAGTCATTCTCCATTTATTAATGCAAAACCATCCTCGCTTCTCTCTGTACAAACTGCAGGCTCCATCCGCATGGGCTCATTGCTATGTGCGCTTTTTAAAAAATAGCATTTTCTCATAAATTCTTTGAAGTTAAAAATAACAGAGATCTTCCAGTTTGTCCAAATTAAAAAAAAAAAAAAAAAAAAAGGAAGAAGAAGAAGAAGAAGAAAGAAAACGTGTGTGAGAGAGTGTCACAGTCTTACAGTCTTGACTTCCGAGAATGTGGCCACAGTTTGCAAAGCAACTATGCACACAGTCAGCCATGAAGGTACCAGAGAGACGGCGGTGACGGTGGGAATTAGTTAAATTAAAAATAATATATTTTTCATATTTTACACTATTTCAAAAATGAAATGTAATTCAGTTAAGTATTGATCTCTCAAAAAATCTAATTTACAATTCTGTGTATAAAAATATACTTTGTGGCCCCCCCGCGGAGCGAGTCTGGGTTCACGCTGCTGAGAAGCCCCAGCGGCTGGGGGGTGGGGAGCACGGAGCTTTGCTTTCTGAACGCCAGGACGAGGGACAATGTAGAAAAATAGACTCTGAGCAGGTCGATTGGCCTCACAAAATAATCTTTTCCCCTGTGAGGACAGTCCACGTGACAATAATAAATTATCCAAGAAACAAACGATTCACGGCTCTTGAAGGTCCGGTTCATATTATTTAAAACATCTATTCATACCAAACAAATAAATAGCCATGAGAGGTGAAAAAAAAAAAAACCAAAATAAAACAATAACCAAAAAAAAAAAAAAAAATTCCAAAAAATATATATGAACTAAACGCGACGCCAGAACTTCCCGGGGTCTTGGTTTCCTTATAGTCTACTTTGGGTTCGCCTACTTTATTATTATTATTATTATTATTTATTTATTATTATAATTAACGTCTCATTCCGTGCGCTTTTTCCGTGTGTCTTTTGCTGTATCTTGCTGTTGCCCCACCCCCACCCCCCTCCCCGCCCCCCCCTCCGGACTTCAGCTGGACTTGACGGCCATGCCCAGCGGGTGCAGGGCCTCGCCGTCCAACAGCCAGGTGCCTATTTGGTAGAGCAGCTGCGAGTACCAGTGGATGCCTGCGGCACCTGGCGCGTCCGCTGCCCCTGGCGCACCTGGCGCGGGCTGGGGGACGCGGCCGCCGCCCCCACCGTCGCCGTCCCCGCTGCGGTCCGTGCTCACGGGCGACAGCGCGGCCAGCAGCGCGTGCGCCAGGCGGAAGGGCGCGAAGGCCCGGTGCGCCCAGCTGTGCTCCTCGATGACCGCGTAGCACGACGCCAGCACCCGGTTGATGAGGATGGTGCCCTGCGCAGTGAGCGGCGCGTACGCGCCCGTGGCCTCCTCGCGCAAGGTCACGCTGTGCACGGCGGCTGGCAGGAGCCGGCGGTCCCCGCCACGCTCGGCCACCACGTACACCCGCTGGCCGGGCCGCACGCGACTGGCGAAGAGCGCCCTGCGCCCCGGCGCGCCCCCGGGCGGTCGCCCTGCGCCCGAGTCGTTGCGCGGCGCGACGAAGAGCAGGTGCGCGGCGGTGAGCAGTAGGCGCTCGCGTGGCTCCCGCGTCTCGATCACGTAGAAAACCTTCTTGGCGCCAGCGTCGCGGTCCAGGAAAGTGAGGAAGTCGCTGTAGAGCAGCCGGCCCTGGTCGTCGGCCGCCAGCACGCGGTCCCCGGGGCGCAGATCCTTCACCAGTTTGGTGCCGCCCTGCTCCAGGTGCACCGTGGCGGAGCCCGGGAAGCAGCCGCCCGATTTGGCCGCCACCGAGTTCTCTGCGGGGAAGAGTGAGAGAAGAGCGGACAGGATGGTGAGTCCCGACACGCAGGCACGCGGGGGAGGAGGGCGCACGCTGGGTGTCTCACGCGCCCAGACCGGGAAGCGCGCGGCTCCGGGAGCGGAGGCAGGGCCGGTGCAGCGCAGACCTCGCTCCCCAAGCCCCGCCGCCTGGGCGACAAACTTCAGATGCAGACACATTCCTGAAGGACTCTTTCAGGACGGGACTGGCTGTGATAACGGTGGGCAGGCTGTGCTCCTTTCTCCTCCTTCCTCCCACCCCACCCTGCTCAGCACACACCCAACGTCGACACGAATTCAGAAGGTATTTGCTCTGCACTTGGATTCCTCAGGGAGCCTCCTTGAGCTCACCCGGGCGCCGGGGCGCTCCCGCCTTCCTTCCCGCCCCCGCGCGGGGCGCAGCGCCCCCTCGAGCGCTCCAGCACCCCGCCACACAGTGGGGACCCTCGCCGCCCGCCCCCAGCGCTCCGCCGGGGCCTCGGTGTCGGGAGACGAGGGGCGGGGGTGAAAATAGCTCTAGTAGTTGTAGCAACTGGACAAACATTCCAGACAACTGGCGGAGGTGTGAAAACCCGGGGCTGGTGTGGATTTTCCAATTAAAATCCAATAAAGGGGCCAGCATTGTCACTGCGACGGCTGAGCTAAAAGGGAGACATTCTCGGAAGAGGGGACACTTCCATTGCTCCCGTCCCCTCGGGGCTCCCGCTGCCCCCGCCCTATTTGCTCAGGTGCAACCCCCGCCCCCCGCGGTTCACACGCGGGCTCTCCAGAAGCCCGGGTCTCACAAACCCTATTTGCACAGCTAGGCCTCTCTTCCAAGCTCTCAAGATGTGTATTTGAATTTTAAATGGCGGGGCCTGCTGGTGCGCTGGAAGCCCCGGGTTCTCAAGGCCCCTTGACGACGCGCTTTTTCGAGCCCTCGGTCGCTCTCTGAGGCTCACTGTCCCGAGGACAATGATCGGAGCGGCCGGCGCGCAGGGGGCCGGGAGGAGGGGCGCGGAGGCCCCGTCTTCTTTGCATTCCAATCTCTGGGATCATGCTTTTTGCAAATAGAGATCGCGAGAAAGAATCTTCCTGCCGGAATTACAGAGGGTTTTTAATCTTCTCATCGGTTTCTCCGGCATGAAGTGCGGGCCTGGCCCTTGGAGGCCCGCATAGCCCCCCGGAATGCGGCCCTGGGCGCAGGCGAGCCCGAGTCGTCGAGTCGCACGACCCTGCTTGACACGCAGCGCGCTGCACCCCGGCCCGTGTGCGCAGAATGCCAATGAGCAGCTCTGCGCGCCGGGGTCTGCTCCCCAGCCGGGTCCTGGGGCCGGATTACCGCTGCTCATTTTCGAGGAGGCCTCTAGGGACCCCCACCCCCGGTCAGGAGCACCCCCGCTAGGGGGACCCTGCGGACAGGGGTGGTCCCAGAGGGGGCCGTGCGCGTGCTGGGGCGCAGCCTCGAGGTCCCGCGAAGGGAGAGAGGCGGGGGGGGGGCAGGGGAGCGGCGGGAGAAAATAACCGGCAGAAGGTTCCCCCACGGAGCCCCGCGAAGTGGGGGTGCTGCCTGTTATTCACCCTTGCGGCTAAGACCCCTTTCCCGCCGTCCCTGATACTCCTTTGCTCTGTGTTGTGACAAGAAGCCACTATTTCCCTCACCTACCAAGTGTGTCTTGACACTTTAAAAGTGTTTTTCTACTCACATCTGCTATTAAAATACAGTTTAGGAGACAAACAGGCCAAGCTGGGGGGGAGGGCGCGGGGGAGACACAGTTCCTCCGGAATTCAGTGTGAACTGTTTTGCTAAATGCGCCAACTTATGCTGAGATGTAGACAAGGCTCCAACAGTCGCCAAGTCGGGATGTTCGCGCGTGTGGGCGGAAAGTCTTCCCTTCCGAGCGACTCCTCGCAGCGACCACGTGTGGCGGTGCAGGCCCGGGAAGCAGCTCCAGGCGGGATGGCCCCGCCGTCGCCACTCGCGTCCCCGCCCGCCTGCGCGCAGGGCAGCCCAGCGGGCTCCTAACGAGCAGGACCGGGCTTCTGGGCTTGCGGGGACCAGATGTTGGAAGCGGTGACTGCTGGTTTATTACCTCCCACCAGGCCTCTCCCCAAAGGCTTAGCAAGTGAGTTAAGTTCATTTAGAATCCACAGGCGCTCGCGGGAGGGGGGAGGACAGGGGCTTACACCCCAGACACAACCTCCTCTCCCGGGAGGGGGGCGACAGGGTGGGTGGGGCAGTTGATTCTAAGGCCTAAAAGAGGAAGGATGAGCCCAGGCCTGGCTGACCACTCAGGCCTGCGGTGTCTCACCTGCCCCCCCCCCATCTTTCTTCCCTGTCTCCGCCACCTTCAGTGGGGGCTCCGGAAACAGGAGTGGGGACAGCTCAGGAAGCCATGTGTCCTGTGCATCAGGGGTCAGAGGACCTCAGGCCTTTGTAGCCTTAAGAGTGTGTGTGTGTGGGGGGGGGCAATTCCTGGCTGGGGCTGAGCCTCGTAGGGTATATACCCACATACCCATGGCAGAAACAGCCCAATGCCAGTTCCCTCCCTTCGCTGACCCTCATGCCCCCTCCCCATTTTTTTTTTTTTTTTTTTTGCTTTGCCTTGAATCAGGCCGTGGGGCTCACAGGTGACATCTTGTGGGCAGATCCGGAGCTGGTGGAGGGTGTCTGTGGTTGGCACCGGGGCCGTGGGGAGGCTGGGGTCGCTCACCTGCTTTCACGGAGCAGTGGATGTGGGCTTTGGACTCGTAGTACACCCAGTCGAAGCCAGCCTCCACGGCCAGGCGCGCCAGCATGCCGTACTTGCTGCGGTCCCGGTCCGACGTGGTGATGTCCACGGCGCGGCCCTCGTAGTGCAGGGACTCCTCGGAGTGGTGGCCGTCCTCGTCCCAGCCCTCAGTCACCCGCAGCTTCACTCCTGGCCACTGGTTCATCACCGAGATGGCCAGAGCGTTCAACTTGTCTTTACACCTCTGCAGAGAGAAGGGAGACGTCAGTGTCCAGCCCCCAGCTGTCCTCGGGCTCTGTCTAGTCCTCGGGGACCAGGGCTCTGCGGAGAAGAGAGGGCCCGGTCAGCTCAGGAGAGGTAGCATTTGGCTGAGGGGGTGGGGTGCGGGTGGGGGGCTCTGCCGGAAGCGCTCCTCTTAGATGTCAGCTGAGGGCCTGTCTCCAAATCCTGACTAGCGGAGCTCCTACCACGGCCTGCGGAGCAGAGGACACGTTTCGGGAACAAGTGGACTGGGTGTGTTCAGACAAAGGCTGGAGAACCCACCAGGGGTACCCTTAACCATGCTCAGCCTTCCCCAAGGTGCCCCCCCACCCCACAGCCACCCCCTGCTGTGGCCCCATTTCTCTGCCTGTGTGGGCCTCGCCCTGCTCCCTGGGCACACTCCCTCACCTGGAGGCAGAGGAAGGCCCAAGGTGCGACTTGGCAAAAACGAAGCAAAACGCAGTCTGCTTCTCCGAGGGCTCGGAAACCTGGCCTTATCTGCGGACCCTCCCTCTGCCCTGCGCCTATCTGGGGTGAGGATTAAGCCACAGGCAGAGAGGGAGTTGGGGAGCAGATAGGGAGTGGAGGGCGGGAGGGCCCAGCGAAAGGCCGCCAGGTGAGTTACAGTTCTCAGTGCGCCCGGCCGGACGACAAACAGTCTTTATCTGGACAGTCACATTCCTTTGCCCCGTGGGACTCTTTCTCCAGGCTTTTCTGTGGTCTGATTGTGTCTCTTGTTTTCCTTAACCTAGTCCCTTCCCCCTCTTGTTTTCTTGGCCCCGGCGCAGAATGGTGTCCGGCAAGTTTGAAGAGCAAACTTCAGAGGTGGAGGGAGGGGGTGGGGCAGGAGGGTGGGGGATGGGAGGCAGAAGGACTGAGGCCTGGGAGCCCTTGCCTGGGGGCTCTCCCTTTAGGCACTGCCCTTTGCCTCCCCGCACCCACCACGCACACGAGGACACTGCCTGTGTGTCAGGACACAGGTAGGCAGGACGCCCGCCCGGTGCGTGGAGCTGGGGTCTGGGGACATCCCCGCAGAGGCCTGAGTCCCAGACAAGGACGCAATAAAACAGCCGAAGCCAGCGTGTGCCTTTGTGTGGCTGCGCACTCACTGGGGGCTTCTCATTCTGCGGGTGGGGTCTGGGATTTCAAAGAAGGGCAATGACGAAGTCCTGACAGGGGCATCCCGGAGAGAGGCAGGCTCCTGGGGAGGCAGGCGACAGGTTCAAGTTGATGTCTGCAGAAGGCAGGGCCGGTCTCCTTCAGGCGGGCGGGGGCTGGCTCGGGAGCCCCGTTCCGCGGCTGGAAAGACCGCCCCATCTGAGACCCTAATAACCGCACCGGGACTCGTTTCCTAGGGGATGGGGGAGGGGCGCCCGCGCAGAAGGGGTGTGACAGATTGCGCAACAGGAAAAGCCCTGTGTATTTGGCAGCAATAAAACGCAGTAATATGGTTGTAGAGTTAAACATACAAATGGGGGGGCAGGGGGGGGCGGCCCTGGTAACAGGTTAGCGCTTGCAGGTTTCGGGGCCTGACAGCCGTTTTCTTTAAAAAAAAAAAAAAAAAGTCGGAAGGGCAGAGTCTGCGTGAGATCATCTTGAGGACTGAACGCGTTTTACATGAAAATCAATCAGTAAACTAGGGTCAGTTAAGAGCCGGGATGTGGAGCCCGCGGCGCAGGCGCACACCAGCGACACGCACACTCATACACCGGGGTCCCGAGCCCCCATCCCACCCCAGCTCCGGTCTCCGGGGGGCACACGAAGCTTTCTACAGCGCACCCCCAGGCGGCTGGTGGGGGCGGGGAAGGATGAGGAGGACACAGGACCACCCCTGCGCCCCGAGCTGCGCCACTTGGACCAGAGGTGAAGGACCCAGGCGAGGACGCAGGCCGAGGCAGGCCCGAGTCGGCTACCCGGCCCCCCGCGCCCCCCGCGCCCCCGGCACCCCCGGCGCGGCCTCGGCCCGCGGCAGCAAGGACGTGCTGCCTTCAGGCGGAGCGATCTTCACGGCCAAAGCCGGGAAGCCCAGGCCGGTCATCAATTCACCGGGTAGGGTGCCGCGAGTCAGGCCCGATTCTGTGCAGCCACTGTGAAGCCCAGCGGGGCCGCCGGCCGCTTTGTGTCGCCGAGGCCGAGCGGTCCCCCACGCCTGAGCTCCCGCCACCTCCCCGTCTGCGCAGCCGCCGCGCGCCCGGCGCTGGAGAGGGACTGTCGCCGCCGGTGGCAGCCGGGCTGCCCCAGCTTGGGGGAGGGGTGCCCCAACTTCAAAAGAGACCCCCCCCGTCCCTACACACACCGCCCCCCGCTCCTCCCCCACTCCGGAAAACCAGACCCCTCCCGTCAAATCAGGAAAACCCTCCTCAAACCCGCTGAGTGCGGTGCCCCTGGGCCGCCACGCACCCAGAGATCTACTCAACGTGGCGTCTCAGGCCGATGCCCCCCGGCCCCCAGGCCCAGCCCCTCGCGGCCCCCTGCCCCCGCGGAGCCCCGACCGCTGGACCGCCTGGCACCCGCGGCCTGCAGGGACAGGGTGTCTGTCTGCGCTCTCCCTCGCCGAGTTAATATTAACCAGGAGCTCATGCGTTCCAGAACTGCTCTCAAAGTTCCACTGGGGACGATCTTGCCATGGTTGAGGGACTTGGGTGGCAGTCACATTAGAGGGACAGAGACGCACCGAGTCGCGGAGGGACGGCGCGACAGGGGAGGAGGGACACGCACCTGAGAACAGAATCCAGGTGGTTCTCTTAAGTGAGGGGCCAGCGGGTGCGCAGGTTCCCCAAGGAGCCCTAAGCTCCTCTGGCCTGGGAGACAGTCCGGGTTTCACCCCTTCACCCCGACCCTACCCCTCACCACCCATGTCCTCTGCCTCCCCCCCAGCCCTGCCCCGCCCCCCCGCCCCCCCCAGCTCGTGGAATCCGAGCAAAAGGAAGGACAGGAAGGGATAAACCAAGGGCACCTTCCAGGCCGCCCCCCAGCTATCCATGATTGCGGGGGATATTTGCGGGGTCCGTGATACAATCCGGTCCTGGCTCTCCCCACCCACCCTTACGGTGGCTGCCCCTCCCCCGTCCTTTTGTGCTGGGAACGGGAAAAGCCACTGCCCAAGGAAAAAAAGTATTTGTTTTCGTTTCTTCGTCTGAGGGAAGTCGACAGAAGGTCAGAAGTTCAAATGCTGCGAGCGCGCGCCGCGGAGAGAGTGGCGGGGCGCGGGGCCACTGGGCCATGGGTCCCGGCGCGGCGCCGAGGCCGGGGAGGCCGGGCGGCAGCAGAGCCGGCGCTGCGCCCTGGCCCTGGCCTCCCCGCCCTCGACCCCGGCCGTCGGGGCCCTGTTCTTAGCGGGGACCGTGCGGCGCAGGGCGCGTGGAGGGGCGGCCGCAGCCCGCCCCGTGCGCTGAAACCCGAGCCGCGGGATCGATCACCCCGCAGTAAGTGGAGTCAACGAGCGCCTGGGTGCGCGCCTCGCCTCGCGCTGCTGGGCGGCCAGGCCGGGCCCCTCTCCCGAGGTCGCCACCGCGCACACGGGGCGAGCGCCGACCCCTCCCGCTCGGGAACCTGCGGTGTCCCCGCCTCCAGCCTGCTCCAGCCTGGCCTCCCCGCTCTCCGGCTCCGAGGGACCCCGAGAGGGTCACCTCCCTCTGGCGGGAGCAGGGTGACCCGGGGTCGGGGTCCCGGACGAGCTGGAGAAGTCCCCGCCGCCGGTCGCCTGCAGGGCGCCCCAGGCCTGCGCAGAGTTAACCGCGGCTCGCGCTGCTCCAGGCACTGGCGCGTGCGGCCACACTCGCGGTCCGGATTTAAGGTGGTCGGAGCAGATGAGACAGAGCAAGGGAGAAGGACCCTCTGGTCCGCTCCCTCCTCCCCAGGCTCCCCGGCCGCGCGCGTCCCTTCTCGGCGGGCAGCGAGGCCGGCTCGGGCTGGGCACTGAGGGCCTGGTGGCGTCTCCGCCTTGCCCCCCCACCCCCTGCACTCGCGCCCCTTCAGCGCCGCTCCGTCAGCGGCGGTGCGCTCCTAGCCCTAAAGGTAGGACTCGAATATTTTAATAGGGCAATAAAAAGGATGTTGACCTATATTTGCCAGGAAATCCATTTCTAGCTTCAGTTATACGTGCGCGGAGTTTCAGACAGCCCGCCCCGGGCGGGGAGCCTGGGAGCCGAGGTCTCCAGCGGCTGCGGGGAGGGAGAGAGGGCGCCGGCTTGCTGCGGTTCGTCTCTCCGGCCCCCTCCGCGGGTGCCGAGGCAGGCAGGTTGAAAACGGGACGGATGCAATGCCAGGAGGTTCTAAGTCCCTCCCCTCAGGTACCCGGCCCGGAGAATGTAAGCGCATCCTTAAAGAAATATCGATACATTCACACTCTGATGAGCACAACTGCCACCGCGGGGTCGCAGTGGCGCTCTGTGCCACCGCCAGGGACTAGTCTGGCGTTTTAGAGCCCGTGGCTTGGGTCAGAACCACCTCCAGGCTTTTCCGACTCAGGGTCTCTGGTGGGGGCAGCGGGGTGGGGGCGGAAGCCTGGGAGGTCAAGGTCTCCTGCTGGGGGCTAGCCTGTGGGTGACCTGGACGCCACTCCGTGGTTATGGGGATTGCTGCCCTCCCTCTGTCTCCACTCCAAACTTGGAAAGGACAGCCGCCCCCAAAGTGAAGGTCTCCCCAAGTTACAAGCCAGAGCTGAGGCAGGAGGGGAAGGCCATCCCGGCTGGAGAAATAAAATCAGGGCCGTGCATGGACCACATCTCCTGTGGGCTTCCCCGCCCCCACCCTGAACTTCTTAGCTGGACCCTTCACCTGCACTCTCTCCAGGAAGAGGCAGGTAGGCCGGTGGGTGGGAAAGGCCACTGCGAAATCACCTTTCCATCTGCCCCAGAGCAAACACTCTGCCTGGAACCGCCTGCTTTCACAGAAGCCCCTGGAAAGCGACACATTCCACGCCCGGTGCTGGTTTCTACCTGAGTCATCAGCCGGTCCGCTCCCGTGTTCTCCTCATCCTTAAATATTATGTCGGGGTTGTAATTGGGCGTGAGTTCCTTAAATCGCTCCGAGTTTCTGGAGATCTTCCCTTCGTACCTTCCGCTGGCCCCTAGGGTCTTCTCGGCCACGTTGGGGATGAACTGCTTATAGGCTAAAGGGGTCAGCTTTTTGGGGTGCCGCCTCTTCCCAAATCCCCTGCCGGGTCCGCACGCCAGCCCCGAGCACATCAGCAGCGAGGAGACCAGCACCACCAGCAGACACCTCGCCAGCAGCAGCATCTCGTCCATGGAACCCAGTGACTTCAGCGCCGTCCCCGCGCGGGTCTGTGTGCGCCAGTGAGCGTGCGGGTGTGTGCCTGTGCGCTCTCCCTTCCTCGCTCGGCTGGCTGGCTGCTGGCTCCCTCGCTCGCCCTCTGCCTCGCTCTTTCTCTTTCTATAGCACCCTGCCCAACGCTGGTGCGGGGGACTCGCGGCCGATCCCCACCCAGACGGGGGCTGGAGCGGCAGGCTGCTGGTCGCTGATAACAGAGCACATCGGAGTTGGGGCGGGAGACAGCAATCAAAAGACAAAAAGAGTCTGATTTTAAATGGTAGCAAGCCTGGAGAGCTTGTGAGAGAGGCTGTCTTCAGTACGATATTATAGCTGGCAGGGGCGTATCTGATTGGCCAAAGCAGCTCGGCTCCTCTTCTGATGTTAACCCTAAAAAAGACTAGAATTTTTTTTTCCGTTGCCGCTGTTGCTTTATTTTCACCTGAAGGCTTTGAGTTAAAAGGGGAAATACAACCTCGGCTAAGACAAGGGTGGGTGTGAGGGAGGCCACCCGCTGCTTAGGGTGACAGCGGCTACCCCCTGCCTTCTGCATATCCCCGTGTTCCCCCTTCACTTTCTCCAGAATGGTAGGTGCTTCAGTTAAAACCAACTTAAGTTTTTAAAGGACAGTCGAGAGGCCCCCCCCATGCAGCTCCGATCATCAAACGGAGTGTTCTCGCCAGTGTTTGAGGGGCAGCACTGCCCAGGTCTGATTTAAATGTTTTTTTTTTCAGAGACTTTATCCCGAAGTCTAGGTCTGCCTGTCTTTGAAAGACAGGGTCTGTGCATTTTCCTGAATATTCAACATCCTTGGACGGAGGGTCATTCTCACTGACCACGACATGAAGTATTGCTCTTTGAAGGGCTCGGTGCCCCAGGAAAACTTGAAAGTGCTTCTCCTTTATTGCGTCCCCACAAGTGCATTATTTTTAACCCTCTGAAGGGGGGATGGAGCCTTGCTCAGGGGCTGGAAAGAGCGCCCTGAGGTCGGCCTGCACCCCAGCCTGCAGAACGGGGCCCTGCTGGTGCCGGGAGGTGGGCGGAGGCCCATTGTGCCTGGGGGCAGCGGTGAGTGGGCAAGGCCGCGCGCACACCACCCCCACGATCTATCGATCTGAGCAAAGTGCAGGCCAGGGATGAGCTGAGGGTGGGATCCAGGCTCCTTCCACTCCTGCGGGGCTCCTTTCGGTGGAGCCGCGAGCCAGGGCCGGGGGCTGCAGCCTGAGGAGGGGCAGGGCCCCCTGGGAACAGGGGTCTGGTCGAAGTGGGCATCCAGAGGAGGCCCCATGCTCAGCCCCAAACACAGGTCCCCGACCCCTGTGCGTCTTTCAGAAAATAAAATCCTGTTCAAAGCAGAAAAATAAAACCAGAAATCCCCCCCCCCCACACACACTTTTTACAGGACATGACCTCTCCTTCTGGGCCCCCTCATCCCACTCTTGCTCTAGACTAAGTCAGGGGAGCGGGCTCCGCGTGGGATGGAAACGCAGGCCCTGGGTGATCCCTCTGTGGGGTTAAGGCTCTCCCTTGACCCAGCCCAGCCTGGTGGAGCCTGAGAGGCCGGGTCGGGCCCTCAAAACAATGGGGCCTTCCAGCCGCCCAAGCGAGCCCCCTTGCAGATAACCTTCTGGGGGGGATGACAGAGGGGGGCATGTTAAGAGACACTTGGCTGGGCCTAGCAGGGACTGAGCAGCATCAAGACCCAGCCATTCTGGGGCCCTCCCCAGGTGGACCCCAGCCCCCACTCCATCGTTTTGCTTTTTCTGCCCTGTGTTTGGTGAAGAACACCCATCCCTGAGCATGGTGGGCAAGCAGCCCCCAGCTTTACGAAGGCCGTGTCCCGGCTGTGTATTCCCGGTGCACACAGACAGGAAGGATAAGGCCCTGGACTCCGGAGGGTCAGCTCCGAGTGGTTACTGCGCAGCGCATGGATACAACGCCCCGGGCGGTGCGGCCCCTGCGCCCTGGGGCGCTCCAGTCCTGTGCTCGCCCTCCCCTGGCGGCCGCCCTGCGCCTGACCTCGCCGCAGTCTCCTCTTCCCCCTCCTTTTTGTTCTCTCGCCCCCCCCCGCCCCCCCCTGCACAGCCAGGCCCAGGCAAAGGGCCGCAGGACGGGGTTGCGACCTTGCGGCCCCAGGTTAGGGACTCTGTTCACCACCGGTGCGCAGAGGCGGCGGGAAGGTGCGGAGACCTCGGACTGCCTCGGGGCCGCCTCCTGCAGCCTGGGGAGCCCGAGCCGGACTTGGGGTGTCCACCGATGCGTCGCTGCTGCTGGTCTGGGGACTGGCAGCCCTCCATAATGAAATGACAATGCACCATAAAACCCGCCATTGACCCTGATTCCTGAGGACTGTCTCCCTGTCGTGGGTGGGTGGGTGGGGGGAATACGGACAGAAGTCAATTGCAGTTTGTATTTCTTGTCTTAGCAACAAGGGCTCCAGGAGCCCCCCCGGAGAAGTGGAGCCCCCCACCCTCCCTCCCCTCCCCCCCAACCACTTCCCGGACTCCAGACACCAGATGGCTCCCTCTCTTTGCCCCTCCTCCCTCCCCGCACACACTTCGGCCCCTCCCCATACAGGTCAGAGGTTCTGAACCCCACCTCGGCCTGACCTGGCCAGACACCCCAGATCACCCTCAGAATCCATTTCTAATTGGCCTGGGCTCTGCCTCTTTCCGGTGGTCAACCTCCGTCCTTCATCCCTCCCCAGCATCCCCGCTGAGGACAGGTGGCCGTCTGTCTTCGGCCCCCACCCCCAGGAGGCGCCTCCGCCACCCCTGGCCCCACCGGCCCCCACCGCTAGATGGCCTCCTGACTCTGCCTTCCGAGGGGCCCAGCGGGCGGGGAAAGGAGCGGCCAGGTGGGGAGGTCCCTGGGAGCAGGGTTAGCCGGCCTGGTGGGTCCTGCCCAGGCCCCTGCGACCCTCCATTGCCCTCCCTGTGGCTGTGGCTCCCGCCTGCACGCTGTGGCCACACTTCTCTGGGCGCTCCAGACGCCCAGTCTCTGGGGTCCGCTCTCAGCTTGGGTTTCCTCCTCCCCAGTCCCCGCCCCTCCGATGTCTCTTCCTTCCACTCGGTCCCTTTCCTCTCGTCCAGAGCTTTTCCATTTCTCTCTGATTTGTTCACTTTCAGAAAACCGGGTATCGTGCCCTGGGCCTCCGCTGAGCTGTGCAGGGAGCGTCCAGCCCTGTTCTCCACCCCGTGGCCCTGGTGTGACCTCCGGGACCGCGGGATCCTGGTGTCCAGGGTCCCCCGAGGCAGCGGCAGCCTGGCCCCTCATGCTGGGGAAGAGGCTGCGCACACACAGACCTCTGCAGCGAGGCCACGATTTCTCAGCAGAGAAGGTGGGCGCCCAGCCACGCGCTGTGCCACGCACGGGGGAGGGCCTGGCATCTTCCTGGCCTCCCTGACTCTCTGAAGCAAGGGCACAGGGGACAGCCTGAGGCCCCCTCCTGAGGGCCTCGGGCTCCAGCCCTCACTCCTGCTGCTTCTGCTCAAGAAATGGGGTGTCCAGTACTCACCCCCCACCCCGTGCTGCAACCTTGAGGGCCCTGTGCTTGTCCCCATGTGGTGGCCTGTTTGTTGACTCTTCATGTCCCGGGGAGGCAGTGATCACGCCCCTGCCCTGACTTTTGCCTCCTGTGTCTTCCTTACCCCACCCTGGTGCCCGGAGCAGGCGCCTGCCGACAGTGGGGCTTGGCGTGGGGGCCGCTACGTGCCCACAACTGTCTCTGACGCACTCACACATGTGGCCATGGTACCTCAATGATGGCCGGGAAACGGCAGGGCCACACACGCCCAAAGCGAACTGAGCCCCGAGCTGACAACGCAGGCCGGCGACGCAGCACAGGGAGGACAGGGAGGATGGCCGCAGAGGGGACGTCTGCACACTCTCCGGTGGTGACGGCCTCTGCCGCTCAGCCTGCTCAGCCCAGTCACTGCGGAGACGTGGCTTCTGTGTCTTCGGTGGCTGTAGGGACGTGGCTCATGCCCAGGAAGTGAAAACAGACCTAGCTCTTCCGACCCCAAATCCTACGTGCCCCTCCCCATCCCATGCTGCCTGGGCCTAGGTGGGACAAAGGTCCCTGATTCAGCTCAGTGACCCTCACTGCACAGCAGGGCCATCTGGGGACCCGGGAGGAGAGAGACCCCATGGGCAGTACCTGGCTGCCCTCCCCACAACCCTGTCACGTGTCTGCTTCACTGACTCCCTGGTGGGGATCCTGGAAGCCCACAGTGGTGGGGACCGGGGGAAGGCCCCATCTGCAGGACACGGCGGTCCTCCGGGGATGCCCTCTGCCCAGCAGGACCTGGCCAGGGGCCCACTCAGCGGCCCAGGGGGTGCTCAGGGGCGCTGTGTGAGTATCCAGTTCTTTCTAAAGAGCAGGTGCGGGGGATGCATAGTGAGAGGTGAGTACGTGTGTGAGTGCATGTGTGAGTGTGTATGTGTGTGGGGGTGTGTATATGTGTGTAAGGGCATGTGTGTGAATGTGAGTGTGTATGATCATGCGTGTGTGAGTGTATGAGTGTGTATGATTGTGTGTGACAGGGTGTGTGTATGATTGTGTATGGGTGTGTGTATGATTGTGTATGTGTGAGTGTGTATGATTATGCGTGTGTGTATGATTGTGTATGTTTGGGTGTGTGTAAGTGTATGATTGTGCATGTGAGTGTGTATGGTTGTATATGAGAATGTGTGAGTGTGTATGATTCTGTGAGAGGATGTGTGTATGATTGTGTATGTGTGAGTGTGTGTATGATTATGCATATGATTGTGTATGATTGTTATGTGTGAGTGTATGCTTATGCGTGTATGTATGATTTTGTATGTTTGGGTGTGTGTATGATTGTGCGTGTGTATATGATTGTGTGTGTGAGTGTATGGTTGTGTATGTGTGTGTGAGTATGATTGTGAGTGTGAATGTGCGTGTATGATTATGCATGTGAGTGTGTATGGTTGTGTATGTGTGAGTGTATGATTA